TATACAAAATTGTAATTATATGCTTTATTTACAGAAATTTATCAAACGCACGAACCAAAACAGAATAGAGGAACATCAAAATTAATCTCCAATATATAATATAAACGGTGGGTATTAAAAATACAGATTAACTTAATCTCGTTCTCTTAATCTCACAATATAAACGTAGTATTACACCAATGCATCTAAGTTTTACCCAATATATTTGTTTCTGGGTCAGAATTGTGTCTTAAAAGATCAAATCTTATATATAAGATTGATTGCAATGATAGCAATAAATCTTATATACATAGGAATGACAAAACAAAAATTATCGAAAAAGTTAAGTGAACATAAAAGTACGTGCAGACGCACTGATGATTATAAAAAAACAGCCCTATCTGAACATCATCATTCAGCTAGACATACTTTCAATTTCGAAGAAGCTTCAATTCTTGAAATTGAGAACAACTACCAAAAAAGAGTACTTGCTGAAGTCATACATATTATATTAAATCACAACCAGGTGGTGAATTAATTTAATTTACGTATATATTGTTTTAATTTTCATAAACCTTAAGTTAAGCTTTTTATTAAAAAATTAAGGTATTATTTTAATTGTAATGTGTAAATTTAATAAGTTTTAATTGGTAATGTTTTTTGTATAATTATTACAGCACTGAGGATGTTCTAAAATAAAGAACGAAATATCTGCTTCAACATTTTAAAATAAAAGCGTTTTATTGTGGTTTGTCTGATAGCTGAAAAATTTTATTTTAAAAATTAAAAGATCAAAACATGCGTTATTACATTAATTACAAATCACATTAATTTTAACTAAGTTTCTAACTTATGCAGAATGTACAAACAACAAATACCTTTAACAAAGTTAAAGGAATTTATGAGTACGCTTCAAAAGAAGTTTTCGGCAAAAACTTTTTTATTACTCGTTTTTATAAATTCTTGTACCAATTTATATCAGAAAAAGATAAACAACTAGTAACCCCGGGCAGACGTTATCCTGCCATAGATTGACTTCTATTTTTAGTAAACTGCATTTTGTTTAGACTGCCTGTTAAATGACGGTTTTTAGTGATCCAGCATGGTGATAAATTTACCCTTGTACTTTAAATGTTGGCAAATAATTTGAGCTAACGATATTCGTTGCTCCGAACGATGTCATTTGAAAGCATGAATTGTACTTGCGTACATTTTTCAAAAAATTTAATGAGTGACTTGTTTCACCTGATACTGAAGTTAATAATGGTTCAGGTGGTGAACCTGCACAGCACATAACTGGTGTTTCACTACAATACGTACACTTTTTATACATTTTTCCAACAATTACACTTGGATAGAGACTGTAATTGTAAAGGGAATTGTAATTGAAACCACATAAATTCAAATAAAAAAAATTTGAAGAAATTATTTATTTATTATATTTGAAATTTGAAATATTTGAAATATTGATGACACACAAAATACAAAAAGAGAATCAGTATCACTCAAACTGTCAAATTGTCAACAGTTTAAAACAGAAATTTATAAATTTATTATTTATGTAAAAATTAGTAGAATTCTGCTATATAATAATGCCTTTTGAATGAGTTAATTTCTTTATGTTAATCACAATAAATCATTACTGGAATAATTTTTGGAAATAACAGTGTTTTCTAGCAATATTGCTAACTTGACACTATTTTTATTTTCAATAAAAATATTATAAAAGTAAATTTTCATGAAATAATTTTCTGCATATTCTCAAAAATTAGAGTCTCCCTTCTTTATAAGATCTTCCCTGATTTCTCGGAAATATAATTATAAAAGTGCATTGAATATCATTGGGTGGCTGTGCACACAATTAAATTAGTATTAGTTTGAGTATTAAATATAGGTCTTGACGCTTAAGTAACACTTAAGCGTTCTTCTTAAGTAAATTCTTCTTTAAATAGAAGAATTTTCCTGTGAAAAATTGAATTTGCTACACAAACTTTACTCTTACATTTTATTTCAAGTAAATGTTACCCAATTATTTATGGTATTTTCTAAACTAGGTATATGTTGTTTAATGTTGCGGAAAATAATTTAGAAGAGTTTTATTTGTTAAAAGCAATAGATATCTATTTTAAGTTTAAATAAAATAAATAAACATTTTCGAACTGAATTCTGCTTATTGATAATGTTTTCCTTCTAAACATGTTATTAAAGTAAATATATTTGTAAATTGGGTATATTATCTAACAAGATTTAAACTTACTATATATGACATAATTAAATATAACTTCTTTATTATTACATAAAATTCACATATCAATGCATATAATTTTCACATTGAAAACTAGAAGGCATTAAATTTTATAATAGTAATTTAGTATTACACTTATCAATAGTGATATATTAGTCTATTTTATTTATTTTCAGAAAAAAAACCAAGTATATAGCCCTGTTCACTTCAAGAAAGATAACCATCCATAATTTATTTGATATTTATTATTTTTCGTTGGAAATTATTTTTCAAAATTAAATGGATTTTTAACAAATGCAAACTAATATTAATTTTAAACTTAAGTTTTTCTTGCCGAGTGGGACACGTCTTTATGATGAAAGAAGCTATATAAAAGTTAGACGAATTCGAATAGCAAAAAAAAGACGGATAAAAATTTATTTAATTTATTGAAATTTGGATGACGCTGTTTCCAGTATAGCGAAGTACTCATCATCAGTGCCCTTAGGAAATATTCAAATTTCTTAATTAGTTTATAGTCCGTGTATAATTTGTTTGGACTGCAAGTGCCTGGCTTAGACCTCGTGCCTGTCAAATTAGAAGCGATGACTAATCGTGTTTATCCACAAGAAACCAAGTCTGCACAAACTTTCAATGCTCAAGTTCCAGGTGTTTTTTGTCGCTTTTTATTAATTATTGACACTAACCAAAGCACTTGCCGTGCTTTTAAATTAGAACGAGCGTATAAACTACACAGCTTTATTTGGAATCACAAGTTCAACGAATTAAAAGTTAATTTTAGGCAATTTTTGTTTCAAAACTGTTCTTTTGTAGAGACATCTGTTATGCATATTTTTTACTTACTATATGTAAAGAAAGAAGCTATGCAAATGTTTCTCTACAAGTTCGGTAATCCCGATAAGAAAAAGCTGAACAATATTATTGTTCATATATCCTATAATTAAAATTTTTAAAGTTAATTCTTTCTTGCCGAGAGTGACGGTCTGTATGCACGGCCACCCCAAGATGGTGAATGTGTTTTCATAACTGAACAATGCTCGATTTTTGAAAATTATATAAACGACTTTATTGGCAGTGTTGTATTGCTGGAACTATCAAAAATTTCAATTATGTGGTCAATTTACCGCTTTCTTTGTATCTTTCTTATTTTACGATTTTTCTCCGTTATCATGAATATGGCCTAAAAAAATGTGTACTATTTTTTAAATTCAAATACGAAATACATTTGAACATGAAATGTTCACCAATAACTGTTTTGATTCATTCCTTTTATAAATATTTATATAAAAAAACTTTTTTTATAAAATTATCCGCAAGTATTTTTGTTTTTACATGTATTTATTAACCACAAATTTGATAAAAAATTTTTACTTGTCATATTTTCACTGATTTAGGCAGTGATGTCAAATTATTCTTACTCAATCAGAACTATTCAAACATTCATGTCAAAAGAATACACCTATAGTTAAAAATATTTACGTCGCACTAAAATTTAAGACGTGAACATTTTTACGTGCAAAACCTAACTCTTAAGATTTTAAGAGAATTGTTGTTGCTTCACATGTTTTCTTTCGCAAGTATTTTTTTGCTCCTCTGAAAGAAAAAATTATAGTTTTTGTACATTCCGTAACGATTTTGTATGATTTGGCAGCATTCTTTTTGTCTCCGTCCAGATCGTTTAAAGCTTTCACCTTATTTCGATTTGTTTTGAACAATTAAAACAAAGTAAAGAAAGGCAAAAGCCTTTGTACTTATTTTTCTTTTTGGCGTGAGCGTTCAATGCCGATTTAAATTTAAAAAAATAATGAAATTACATATTATTTAGTTTTTTACGTAAAAGTATTAAAATAAACAAAAAAAAAAATAATAATACAAATGGATGACGGACGAATAAAAAAAATAAATGATTCAACAACACAAAAGACTCGTGGACACCAGATTAGGATAGCTATATATAAAATTATTACTTCATTTTAATATACATTATTTTTATAGGCCTACACAACATGTGAAAATACAACCTTGCCTTTTGAAAATAATTTCGTATAGCTTCTGGTTGTAATTTTTCCTGTCTGGGAAATTGAAGTGATTTTGTAGCATCTAAATGCTACAAAATCGGTTGCTCCGAGTTGCATACCGATTTCTTTACCCTTAGCTTGAATAATTGGGCCAGATATCGGAATGTTTCGATTTCTTACATTACGAAACCAGTCGAAACAGATTTGATCTGTTTTTGTTGTTGTCTATATATTGTCTGCGTTCATAAAGCA